GAACATGATACTCTATGACTGATTCAGAGAGACGAGGCCAAGAAACACAACAGTAACTAAGAAGTTGCAGTATCTCGTGGTAGAAGCCGTTTATAAAACACTAGAAAGAACTGTGTATGGAAAGATAGAACAGCCACCAGCATGCTTGGAGCGCAGAAAGCCATGTCGACAGAGGCTCACTCGTGGAGAGAGGATAGTAACTAGCATACTTCTCTGCAACCCTAAAATCAGACATCTGACCTTGAATTTTATTCCCCCAATCCACACTACATAAGCAATCCCACACATATACACCCATACTCTAGTGCTCAAAAGCAAATTCACACTTTTCCATGACTATGATGTCTTAAATAAGCCAGAATAAACAAGAGATATTGGGGATTCTCTGATCCTGCCAAACCAACCACCTGCTCAGTTTCTCCACAAATATAATATATATAAATATTCCCTAGGTATCCTCTACCAGCATCATAATGATAAAACTCCAATAAGAAGAATTCTGAAAGTCACACACTTTTATTGAGTCTTATTGCATGACTATGAAATATTTCTGCTGTAGAAGTATGGAGGACACCTACTCAACTAGCAAAGAAGGATCACAAGTCACACACTTATAGTAATTAATTTATTTGAACAGGTGAACAAATTGTCTAAATGGCTAGAATGACTCAAACCAGTTGCTGTTTAATGCTTCATACGTCAGGATACCACTGCCCGTGTAGTGTACTCTTAATTGCTGAAACCATTTCAGCTGCCACGCTCCCCACCTTGACTAAACTTTTGAAACTATAAGCTAGCCCCAGTTAAATGTTTTCCTTTATAAGAGTTGCTGTGGTCATGGCATCTCTTCAAAGCAATATAAACCCTAACTAAGACAGATACTTATAAATCTTGAGAATTCCTTTTGCCTAGTACTGCTGTGTTAATTTTGGCTTACAGTTCCAGTGGCATGATGTAGTCCAAGGATACTGCTCTATTTACAGCCCAAACCTCTTGGGTTAGTGAGCCAACAGTCACATCTCTACTGCTCTGCCATTTAAACTATGCATTTTCTTCCCCAGATCCTCTGTGAAATGAGTTTTTGCCAACATACTATGACTTCCTGAAGTGCCTGCTGAGACTGGTGAATTACAGTGGCATTTTATGCCCTGGGACTTGAATGACCTCAGCCTCCTAATATTCTGAGAACATAATTGTAAAGACTGTATACATGGCCAGAGGTCGCTTTGGAAATGATCAGAAGAGATGGGGGTTTAGGAGAGACACTCACGGTATGACTTGTAACAAGATGAGTCAGCTATGCTTTTGTGATAATCTGATTCAAACTTTAAGTAAAGAAAATATAATCCCCTTGTTGTGAACATCTCCAAACTTGCAATGCCAGTGTCCCTCAGCTCAATGAGTGCCATGAGTGTAACTCTCAGTCTGTGTTGGCGGCCCCTTGGCAGCGAGAGTTCCTGGAACTCTGCCAGCCGTGGTAGCCTACATTGGCAGTTCTTCTCTCTATAGCCCTTCACTGGCAGCCCCTGCACTTGCTTACTCCCATAAGCACTTACCTGTCCTCTTGTCGGTAGGTCTTGCCTCTGGTATTATCTGTTCTGTCCCCTCTGTATGCTGTGAATACCATTGGTTAATAAAGAAACTACTTTGGGACTATTGCAGTACATAATAGGGCAAGTCAGGAATTCCAAGCAGGTAGGGGAGGAGAGAGCAGAGAGAGTCAAGGAGTAGCCAGAGGAGAAAGATGCCCGCCCCTGCAGCCTGCTGCAACTTTGCTGGTTTGCCACGACTTCATGGTGATGCACAGAATAATAGAGATGGATAATTTAAATTGTAAGAACTAGCCAGAAAGATGCATAAGCTAATAGACCAACAGCGTTTTAATTAATATAATTTCTGTGTGATTATTTTGGGTATGGGAGGCAGGAAATGAAAGAGCAGCCTCTGCCTACAGGAACTAGCTCAGTTCATTCTCTGTATAACGAAACTACTTCAGTAAAGCTTTATTGGGGCCTATGCTGTAACATAATGGAGCAATGCACAGTAGAGAACTTCTAAATGGACATGATGACTCAGAATTCCACATGGACCTGATGACTCAGAAGATTACTGATATTGCTGTCACATCGACACAGGCTCCTTTTGGCTAACTACAAACGTTTTCGTTCCATAATTATCTCCTGCTTGAAGGAGGCTATACTAATAGACAATCCCAGGGGGCTCCACACTTACTCATTAATCCTTCTCAGTGCTCTGATGAAGAAAATACTTTTGGAAATTTCCTGGTTTGCTGGGTGATGAGGGAGATTTATGGGTAATACATCACAAATTCTCCATGTATCACTTTTCCTTTTGGAGTAATTCAGAGTGTGCCATAACTACCATCTCAGTGCCTTGAGATATTAAATGTTTATGTTTCACTCATGGGACAAGTCTGCTGCAGATCAACAAGTCAGTTCCCTGAAAAGTCATGCAGCGAGCCAAGTTGGTGCAGCACAGCCACCACCATCATGAAAACTGCCTGTTACTGAGGCAGAGGGAAAGAGTGCCTGAGCATGTAAGCGATGCACATCACGACTCCTTGAGTTTACTAGTTGCATACTCCCTGTCAACAAGGGTGCAGTAAGAAACCAGTGAAATGGCTGCTCCATGGGAGGAAAAGGAAAAGCTTATTCCAAATTTCCAAGGCTTTTTACAGATAAGGGTGGTAGATGCAGGTTATGAGGAAGATGAGCAGCTGAGGAGAGGAAAGCCCTTGAACTGGAGCAGTCTGAGAATCCTGGTAGAGGAGGATGTAGGAAGGGTGAGGGTTTTGAGACGCATAACAAGTACAAGTGAATGGGGCCACGAGGAGTCTGGGGAGGAGCACTGGCTTTGATAAGCACCTTAGGTACTTGACATTAGGGAGCCAGATGCCTCCTCTCCCAGAGGAAATGGAGATACAAAGTGATGGTTTCTGGCAGAAACCCTTCTCACAGATTCCTGAGGTATGCTGAAAATATCTGCCAGCAATCCTATAGTTCAGCATAAACTGAGCCAAGACCGTCTTTGAGCCAAGTCTGTTGGCCCACCTTATGGGGATATTTGGGGTTTTCCTTTATACCTAACATTCCCTACCAATAAGGGAACTGAAAGTAAAATATTTTATGTCATGAATAAATGGTCAAATATTCTTAATAATGTCATAGGTATGAGGCTATTCAGATTCACCAGCCTGACAATTAATAAATTTTTAACAAAAAGGAAGCTTTATTAAATACTGGTCATGACAATGGATGCTGGTCAAGACCATACTGTAAATGGGCAATGCTCGCTCATGTCCTGGCCTCCCAGACCTGAATAATCACACAAAAACTATATTAATTACAACACTGTTTGATCAATAGTTTAGGCATATTCCTAACTATTTAACTCTTACATCTTTGTAAGCTTGTATGTAGCTCTTACATCTTAAATTAACCCATGTCTTTTAATCGGTGTATACCATGAGGCTGTGGTTTACCGGGAAAGACTCTGGCATTCTTTCTCTTTCAACAACTACATGACGTCTCCTTGACTCCTCCTACTCTTTCTATAGATGTCTTTCAGCCTTGCTATTATAGTTTGTCCTGCCATAGGCTAAAGCAGCTTCTTTTTACTGTTGTTTAGTTTTGTTTTTTTGAGATAGAGTTTCTCTGTAGCATTGGAGCCTGTCCTGGAAATATCTCTTGTATACCAGGCTGTCTTTGAACTCATAGAGATCTGCCTGTCTCTCCCTCCCAAATGCCTAGATTAAAGGTATGAGCCACCACTGTCAGGCTCAAAGCAGCTTCTTTATTAACCAATGGTAATAAAACATATTCATAGCATATAGAGGGGAATCCCATATAACCATACTCAAGACTCATGCTCAGAGTAGAGTGCCAAATTAGATTAGTCAAGAGTTTATAAAGGCAAAACTCACAGAATTATGTACTTCCTGCTTCATGCAATCAGAGGCAAGGACACATCCTGATGTACCTCCTGTCTACCCATCATCACACATGCTTCCTGTGTAACTGGAGGAACCAAGCTCATTTTCTTAGATGAACAACAGTCCCCAGTGTTCCAGGAAGTTTTCTGTCCTCGAGCAATTGGGACTTAGAGGTTAGAAGCATTTTATTTTGGAGATCATTTAAGCACAATAATGCAAACTTAAAATATATGTTAGCCACAACAATAGGAGTTCTAAAATTCAACCTATTCCTTTAAAATCAAAATCAAAGTACAAAAATCAAATATGATTTCCTAGGGTAAAGAGTTGTTTTATAGAAGGAAAGTAGAGTGAAGGTCTTAGGAGAGAGTGAATTCAGAAGTCTCTTAAGATAGTGATTGTTTATTTCATGGATAATCAGTTTTATACAACACACACACACACACACACACACACACACACACACACACACCAACAATGAATTTGTCTTAGAATAACAGTTAAGCCCATTATAAGATCTCCTGAACTAAATAAATACACTAAAGATATACTATTTTATATTTTCCTTTAGTTGAACATTTTTAGATATTTTTTATTTTACATTTTTTATTTATCTTATATATCAACTACAGTTCCCCCTCCCCCCTCTTCCCACTCCCACCCCCCATATTTTCTGCAACCCACTCCCCATCCACTCCTCCAAAAGGGTAAGGCCCTCCCATGGGGAATCAATAAAGCCTAGCATTTTGAGGCAGAACCAAGATCCTCCCCCCTACATTAAGACTAAGCAAGGCATCCCATCATAGGGAATGAGCTCCAAAAAGCCATCTCATGCACCAGAGATGGATCCTGATCCCACTGCCAGAGGTCCCTTCAAGAAAACCAAATTATACAAAGTTACCACGTGCAGAGGGTCTATTTTTGTCCCATGCAGGCTCCTCAGATGTTGGTCTAGAATTCGTTAGTTCCCGTAAGCTCGGGTGAACTGTCTCTGTGGATTTTCCCATCATGATCTTGATCTCCCACTTGCTCATATAATACCTCCTACCTCTCTTTGACTGGACTTCCAGAGCTCAGCCCAGTGTTTGGCTGTGGATCTTTGCCTCTGCTTCTATCAGTTACTGGATGAAGGTTCTATGATGACAGGGTATTCACCAATCTGATTATAGGGGAAGGCCAGTTCTGGTGCCCTTTCCACTGTTGTTAGGGGGTCTTAGCTGAGGTCATCCATGTAGATTCATGGGAAATTCCCTAGCACGAGGTTTTTCCCTAACCCCATAATGACCCCTTCTATTAAGATATCTTTTCCATTACTCTAAGCCTCTGTCTCTCCCCGAACTCAACCATCCCATTCCCTCATGTTTTCATCCCCCATCCCCTCCCTTCTACTATCCCATTCCCCCAGTTTACCCAGGAATTCTCATCTATTTCCCCTTCCCAGAGTGATCCGTGTGTCCCTCTTAGGGACCTCCTTGTTAACCTCGCCTCTCTGTAGCTGTGGATTGTAGTCTGGTTATCCTTTGCTTTATATCTAGTATCCTCTTATGAGAGAGTACATACCATACTGTGTTTGTCTTTCTGGGTCTGAGTTACCTCACTCAAGATGTTTTTTTTTCTAGTTCCATCAATTTGCCTTCAAATTTCAAGGTGTTATTGCTTTTAACTGTTGAATAATACTCTATTGTGTAAATGTACCACATTTTCTTATCCATTCTTCGATTGAGGGACATCTAGATTGTTACCAGGTTCTGGCCATTGTGAATAATGCTGCTATTAACATAGTTGAGCAGGTATCCTTTTATTGAGCATCCTTTGGGTATATGCCCAAGAGTGATAATGCTAGGTCTTGAGGTAGACTGAATACTAATTTCCTGAGAAACTGCCATACTGATTTCCAAAATGGCTGTACAAGGTTGCATTCCCACCAGCAGTGGAGAAGTGTTTCCCTTACTTGACATCCTCTCTAGCATAAGCTGTTGTTAGTGTTTTGATCTTAGTCATTCTGACAGGTATAAGATGGTTTCTCGGAGTTATTTTGATTTTCATTTCCCTGATAATTAAGGATGTTGAACAATTCCTTAAATGTCTTTCAGCCATTTGAGATTCTTCTGTTGCAAATTCTCTGTTTGACTCAGTACTCAATTTTAAAATTGGCTTATTTGGTATTTTGATGTCTAATTTTTTTTAGTTCTTTTATATTTTGGAGATCAGCCTCTGTCAGATGTGGGGTTGGTGAAAATTTTCCACTTGTAGGCTATGTAGACTGTTGGTTTTTTTTTCTTATTTACTGTGTCCCCTGCCTTACAGAAGCTTTTCAGTTTCAAGAGGTCCCATTTATTGATTGTTGGTCTCAGTGTCTGTGCTACTGATATTATATTTAGGAAGTAGTCTCCTGTGCCAATGTGTTTATTACTTGAACTTTTGACTGGTAAATTCTTTTGAGACTGAGCTCAGACCCTAATTTCTTCTGTATTATGTTGCTGCACCATTAATCCCTGGACTCTGCTCATTTTTCCAGCCCATATCCCAGCACCTTTCAACATAAGTCCTTCTCTCCAGTCAACTCGTCCAAATAATTGTTTGCCAAGCTCATCCTTTTCTGTTTCATCCTTGTGCCTATGTTTTCTATGATCTGGATGCACCCTACTTCCTCTTCAACTCTATTCTGCTTAATATCAAATTTTCAGAATTCACTTCCATTTTCTTCAGTTCCCGTAAAGCTTTCTCCACTCCCTACACTGCTGTATGCAGAGGGCTCAGTCTACTTCCTAATGTTACAGGGGCCACCAGAGAAGACCATTCACACACAATTTATACCCAATTGAAAGCCTTTATTACAGGTGGCTGAGACTACACTCAGGTATCCAGGACCCAAGTGTATTTAAAATAAGGGCTTTGAAGGGCAAAAACCATATTCTGGTGTTTTCCTTAACAGCTGCAAGGAGAAATTTTAATCAAACAATCAGTTTAACAGAAGCAAAGATAAGCAGTTAGCTGGAGCAGAAGCTCAAGCAGGCAGTTTAACAGAAACTAAGTTAGCTGGGGCACCCTGACCTCAGGTTCCTAGAAGAGTTAGGTAATTTTCCATGGGATTCTATCAAAGGCCATGGAAGTACACAGAAGGTGAAGAACTTGTGTTTAGATATCAACCTACCAGAAGAATGGCTCCCTGATGGAGGAAAATCCCATCCAGACAGGGCCTACAGAACCACCAACTCTGAAAACTGTTTCTCCTGTCTGTAATTTCACATTTTCTAAAACAGCTATGGTGTCTCCCAAATATCTGCACTGTTGTGTGTAATTTCATATGCCATGTATGTGTAATCTTACGATTGCATCTCAAACTATGGACACATATATCCATGGGTGGTCATGAAGATGACTTCTCATTAATCTGTATAATTTTGATATATATAAAATATACTAGGCTATACTTCATAACTAGATCTATTGTACCAAAAGGACTGTAAGACACTTAAAAGCCCACTTTGTTCCTTATAATCAAATTACACACAGCTCATTTTCTCCTCAGAACAAGTTCAGATTAGACTTAATCCTTCTGTAAATGGATCATAAGTCAAAAACTTTACAGATATGCACAAGATCAGAGCTGCAGATGTCTGACCAAGGTTACAAATGTAAAGCAACCTAAAGAATCAGGCCAGTTCTTTGCTTACCAAGTCTGGCTGATGAGACCTGACTCTGTGCAGATCTCTCTGTCTCTTGTCTCATCCAGGCACTGTGTCCCCAGCCTCCGATCAATCTTACACCTGGAATCTTTAAACCTTGTATTGCCATGGTAAATGGCTTGGCTCCTTATTGTTTACTCAAGGATCAATGAGAAGTAACTCTTGGAACTTCTTTTTGCCTTAGACCTCCTGTAAAAAATTATGTACTTAAGCTAGGTGAACATAAAAGCAGGAGAATTGGAACAGAGAATTGAAGCAAAGAACTAGAAGCTGTGGTGGTAGAATTAGAGCTAACAGAGAAACAAAGAATATGACCCTCAGATTGTACATGTGAGTCTTTACCCCTCAGACAGAAAAAATAAACTGTTTCCCTCGTTGTGGACTTCTTCCTCAAATCCTGGAGGTGGCCCTGAAGAGCTGGACTCCCAGGCTACCATTACATTTCTCTATCAAGGAGACCAAAACCTGAAATGGCCTCAGCAAGAACACAAAATGGAATAACCTCTATGTGGCCTTGCCCTGTTACACTAAGAACCTTATGCCTATTGTTAATGTTCCAGTTTTAGGTTGACAGATTTACAATAACTTATATTTTCTCTCAAATATACAAAAAAGTTATAAGAAAAATCTGAAGAACGTTGTGTTTCTTTGACCTACATGCCTCTAGTGATAGTATCCCCAGGAGGGTAGTGAGGTCAGGCTGTAGAGGCAAGGAGACAAATGACATATCAAGAGTAAACTTTCAAAGTTGATGGATATCTTCATTGTTTTATCCTGTCTGTAAAAATAGCATTCACATATGGAAAAGCATTTTTATTTCTATCTTAATCACTATTATGTATCAATAGGATATATGTGAACAATATGGTCAGGAATTCTATACAATTTCTTCAAACATGAAATCTGGTTGGGCCTCAACTACCATCATTTCCCATAATATACTGATGATCACAAACATGGATTTATCACTGTAATTATCCTAAACCTAAAGAAGTGTGATTAAAACTGCAGTTGAAGCTATGAAGTCTTTCATGTTAATAGCTCACATTCAAAGAATTTTTTCTGTTTTCCTCAGAAAAACATTGGCAGAACACCTGAAAGTGCAACATGGGGCTGAGGGCCTAAATAAGTTCAATGTAAAGACACAACTGGTTGGGCTAAAAACTGTGAATGAAGTATGTGATTTTCCTTATGTCTGCACAGAGACCCTAGGCAATGGCATCTGGAAGGACAGAGGGGAGATTTATTGACTGCAAAGAAAAATGGGAGAGAAGATGGAGGTATGTGCTCTACTGAGGTTCTAGACTTTCTCTGGATGATGTCCACATGACCCAACTGTTTCATCATTTTCAGAAGCCATGATAAATTCAGTAAGGGGACATTTTCTATTTGCATTCTCCTATTCCCTGGACCTTATTATTATTTTTTTAAAGTGGCCATCCATAGACAACTGAATGATTATTTTAAGCTTCTAAAAGAGATCATTTTCAGTATGAAAATTTAGGTCCAGTTATCACTAACTGACTCCCTTAGAAAACAGGTGAGGTGATAGGCGGGTCTAAGCTGTGCATGAAGGCTAACCTCAAACAGCAGCATTAAGGTCTCCTTACTCAGTTTGGAGTGCTTTCCCCACAGAAATAAATATGGCTCATTTCCTTTTTAATTTTTTATCTCTGCTTCAATAACCCAGGCCACCTGCTAATTCCTACAAACAATAACACTCCAAAATACTCCTTTTCCTTGCCTTTTCTTCATATCACATATTGTTGCAGGCACATAAACATTTATGTATACTTATAGCATAGAGTATCTGTGTATCAGTGATATGTTGTTGTTTATTTATAGTCTTTTGTCATCAAAATAAAGCTATGTCTAGATAAGGTCTACTTCATTTAGATTTTTTTTCTACCCATCCTCATAACTTCGGTTCCTAGAATGATATGTATCAAACATTAACCGTTCAATAAAAAAACATTTTTTAAAAGTTGTTAAATTTAAAAACCAAGTAATGATTCAAAAAAATAAAATTATTTTATTTTTTATACCCAAGATTTCAAATACATGTACATAATTTATGGACACTGTTATAAAAAACATTCATCTAAGCAGAGAGTTAAAAGGGAGTAGACTGATATAATAAAAGACGGTTCCCGAGAATCAGGGTAAGATCTCCAAGGGAAGAACGAAATTCCAATGGTACACCATCACACTCCAGTGTCAGGCTGCAAACAGCTATGTCTCATGAAAGGGAGAATGAAACAAAAAGAGTTTGATCTGAGAAAATAGCTTATTCAGTAAAAAGTGTGCCTTCTAAGTTCAGGGATGTGAGTTCAAGTCTCAAAGCCCACATTAAAAACATACATAGATAAAAGCCGAACATGGTGGCACTCCTTTGTAATCCAGCAATGAAG